CAGAAACTGAATCCAAGAACACATAAAAGATATCATCCACTATGACCAAGTAGGCTTCATCCTTGGTATGCAGGGTGGTTCATTATATGGAAATCTATCAATGCAATCCACCATATAAACAAACTGAAGGGGAAAAAACCAGCACATAATCATCTTCTTAGATGCAGAAAGGCATTTGACAAAATTGAACGCCCATTCATGTTTAAAGTCTTTCAGAGATCAGGGATACAAGGCACATATCTAAACATAGTAAAAGCAATATACAACAAGCCCATAGCCGATATCAAATGTAGAGAAATTTAAATCATTCCTAGTGAAATCAAGGACAAAGCAAAACTGTCCACTCTCTCAGTATCTCTTTAACATAGTATTTGAAGTCCTAGCTAGAGCAATAAGACAACTTAAGGAGATCAAGGAGATACAAATCTGAAAGGAAGAAGTCAAAGTATCACTATTCACACATAATATGATAATATACATGAATGACCCCAAGAATTCTAAGGGAATCCTCCAGCTGACAAACACCTTCATCAAAGTGGCTGGTTACAAAATTAACTCAAAAAAAATCAATAGCCCTCCTGTTTATGAAAGACAAAAGGGCTGAGAAAGAAATTAGGGAAACAACACCCTTCACAATAGCCACTAATAACATAAAAAACCTTGGTGTGACTCTAACCAAGCAAGTGAAAGACCTGTTTGAAAACAAAAAACAAAAACAAAAACAAAACCCACAAAAACAAACAAACAAAAAAAAACCTTCAAGTCTCTGAAGAAAGAAATAGAAGATATGAGAAGATGGAAAGATCTCCCTTGCTCATGGATTGGTAGAATTAACATTGTGAAAATCCCCATCCTACCAAAAGCAATCTAAAGATTCAATGCAATTCCCATCAAAATACCAACATGATTCTTTACAGAACTTGAAAGAACAATTCTCAGTTTCATATGGAAAAACAAAAAACCCAGAATTGCTAAAAAACAACCCTGTACAGTAAAAGATCTACTGGAGATATCTCCATCCATGATCTCAAGCTGTACTATAGAGCAACAGTAATAGAAACTACATGGTACTGGCATAGGTATAGACTTGTAGATCAATGGAATAGAATACAATGGAAAAAATATAGCATCATCAACAAATGGTGCTAGTATAACTGGACGTCTACATGTAGAAAACTGCAAATAGATACACATTCATCACCCTGCACAAAGTTAAAGTCCAAGTGGATCAAAGACCTCAACATAAAGCCAGACATACTAAATCTATTAGAAGAAAAAGTGAGGAAGAGCATTGAACTCATTGGCACAGGAGACATGATGAACACAACACCAACAGCATATGCTCCAAGATTAACAATCAATAAATGGGACCTCATGGAACTGAAAAGCTTCTTCTGTAAAGCAAAGGACATGGTCTACAGAACAAAACGGAAGCCCACAGACTAGGAAAGGATCTTCACCAACCCTATATCTGACAGAATATATAAAGAATATACTATAGGATGAACCTACTAAATCTGTACACCTAAAGAAACTAATCAAGAGGGAGGACTCTGGCTAAAATGCTCAATCCCCATCCAGAAAGGCAAAGAGGATGGACATCAGAAGGAGGCAAAAAGAGGGAACAAGTCAGGAGCCTGACACAGAGGACCTCTGAAAGGCTCTGCCCTGCAAACTATCAATGCAAATGCTGAGACTTATGGGCAACCTTTGGGCAGAGTGCATGGAATCTTAGGAAAGAAGTGGGAAACAGTAAGATCTGGAGAGGACAAGAACTTCACAAGGAGAGCAACAAAACCAAAAAATCTGAGCACAGGGGTCTTTCCTGAGACTGATACTCCAACCAAGGACTATGCATGGAGATAACCTAAGACCCCTGCACAGATGTAGCCCATGGCAGTTCAGTATCCAAGTGGGTTCCATTGTAATAGGAACAGGGACTGTCTCTGATAGGAACTGATTGGCCTGCTCTTTAATTACTCCCCCCACAGGGGGAAGCAGCTTTACCAGGCCACAGAAGAAGACACTGCAGCCACTCCTGATAAGACCTAATTGACTAGGATCAGAAGGAAGGAAAAGAAGACCTCCCTTATCAGTGGACTTGGGGAGGGGCATGCATGCAGAGGATGGAGGAAGGGAGGGATTGGGATGGGAGGAGGAAGGGAACCACAGGGGGGATACAAAGTGAATAAAGTGTAATTAATAAAGAATAAAAAAAAGAATATATATAGGAATAGGAATAGTGCTACCTCAAGATCCAGCTATACCACTTCTAGGCATATATCCAAAATATGTTCAACCCTGTCCGTAGCAGCTTTATTTATAATAGCTAGAATGTGGAAACAACCCAGATGTCCCTCAACTGAGGAATGCATACAGAAATTGTACATTTACACAATGGAATACTACTCAGCCATTAAAAGCAAGGAGATCATGAAATTTGGAGGCAAATGGATGGAACTAGAAAAGGTCATACTGAGTGAGGTATCCCAGAAGCAGGAAAACATACAAGGTACATACTCATAAGTGGATATTAGCCATATAAAATAGGATAAACACACTAAAATTGGTACACCTAAAGAAGCTAAGCAAGAAGGAGGACCCTAGGGAACATGCTTAATCCTCATTCAGAAGGACAAATGGTATAGACATTGGAAGTAGGAGAAGACAAGGAGCAGGACAGGAGCCTACCACAGAGGCCCTCTGACAGAATCTACCCAGCATGGTATCAAAACAGATGCTGAAACTCATAGCCAAACCTTTGTTAGAGTACAGGGAATCTTATGAAAGAAGGGAGTGATAGAAAGTCCTGGAGGGGACAGAAGCTCCACAAGGAGACCAACGGAACCAAAATATCTGGACCTGCAGAGACTGATAGTCCAACCAAGCACCATGCATGGACAGAACCTAGACCCCCTGCTCAGATGGAGCTCATAAGCAGTTCAGTCTCTATTTGGGTTTCCTAGTAAGTGGAGAAGGAGCTGTCTCTGACATGACTCACTGACTGGCACTTTGATGACCACCACCTGGGGGGGGGGGGTGGAGCCTTGCCAGGCCATAGAAGAAGACAATGCATGCAGTTCTGCTGAGACCTGATAGGCTAGGTCAGATAGTAGGTGAGGAGGACCTCCCTCATCTGTGGACTCAGGGAGAGACATAGGGGGAGAAGAAGGAGGGAGGATGGGACTGGGAGGAGATTATGGAGGGGGCTACAGTGGAGATACAAAGTGAATAAATTGTAATAAATAATAAATTAAAAACAAAATAAATTTTAAAAAACCCACAATAGGCAAGAAATGGAAAGAACCTAAATGTCTTTCAATGGATAAATAATGAAACTGTGATTAGCATACAAAGCGGAAATACTATGTAATTGTTAAGAAAATTGAAATCATGAAATTTTCCAGTGAATGGGTTGACCAAAAGTATATATTGAGTGATGTAAGCCAGATCCAGAAAGACAAAAGCTTCCTGTCTCTCTCATTTTGGCATTTCCTGGAAAGCTAACTCTAATCTCTTCCTCCACCTCTTGTCATTCAGACATTGATGTTACATTTGATATAAATTATTTTGTCCGTTAACTTTACATTAAAATTTTCCGTGTTCTACATAAAAAGGACTGCCAGAGTTTAATGGGATTTACCTGTACTAAACACAAGAGTATAATTCATTATGTTCAAAGCACAAGACAAATAAAGGTTATGCTTTCCTTTTATTTTGACTACGCCATTTTTGAGGTTATTTTTTCAACAATAACAATGACTAGATAATTTGCTATAATAAGGACAGCATTCCTAGCAAGGAGGACATAATTATCAGTCTACCATCATATAGAAGTATACTAGTAAGATAATTATAGGAAAAGCCATAATTTCCCCCTAAAACTAAAATGTTTAAGCACATGTCAGAAAAGGTAAGTATTACAGATTCTATGTGATGGAATACATGCAATTTAATCTCTATTACATGACAAATTTACTAATAATCCTTCAGTTTACCTCAAAATGAAAATGCAGTTTTGCTTATCAAACCCTATTCAATGTCCAAAATTCATTTCTTGCTTCTATTAAGGTAGGCTAGAGTCATTTTTTAAAGGTATAAAATAGCTTGTTAATTTCAGCAACTATTGGACATTGCTGTAGGATTTGGTCCAGCAGTGTTCTAAGGGCTCTTAAACTTATTTAACTTATTGCTTACGTAAAAACTGACTTTTGCTTTCTTCCTTGCTGTTAAGAAAACAAGTACAGGTGAACGAAATGAAAGGAATTATGAGCCAGAATGGTGGCATACAGCCACAGATGCCAAATGCTTGGGAGTCTGAGAAAGAATGACCCCAGTTCCAGGTCAGCCAGGGGAGCTTAACATGTCTTTGTTCAAACAAACATTGATTGGGAATGGAGTTAATTTAGCAGTGACAGTATTTGCTTATCGTGTGCAAGACCTTGGGTTTAGTTCCTGATATCCTCTTCATAGTATACATAACAAATGAACCATGAAAAGGCAAAAGTCTTCAATGGTGTAAGATGATTTTAAAATTTGGCCTATATATGGCAAGAGTGGTCTTTCACCACGGAGAAGCAAGAATTTTTTTTCTTGTAACTTGCCTCTGCTAAGAGATTAGCCAATTTAGCTGTTACAGAATTTTTATCATATATAAGAGAAAATAAATCTTACTGATTTAGTCGGAGGTTCTATCTTTTGATATTACATTAAAGTACCTATAAACAATGCTGAGGACTTAGGAAAGCTCCCAACTTGGCTGTAATAAGTTCTGTATTTATTTCTTTATTTTTTTTTTTAGTTATAGATTATAAAACTTGTCACAAACATTCCTGAAACATGAAGCAAGAAGAATAACAGTTCATTGTAAAGCAGTTATCAAAGTTTCATCCCTCAGAGTGGCCTCATGGCTGAACCTTTCTCACCTTGTGCACCAAATGTTGAAGAGACCAGAGTGCATAAGAAGAAATAAGTGTTTGCATACTAATTAACTCTTTGCAATGAGAGTGTTGTGCTTTAAACACTCCGTTTTGGGGAGCTTTCTTGAGTATAATGGAGCATCCCAGTCAGTTTTGATTTTCCTTCTGATTCCATGTTGCTTGCCTGAGGAGTTTAGGGCACCTCCACTTATCCCTAATGTGCCTTTCCTCTGGGCCTGGAATGCTCCCACTGAATCTTGTGCCACAAGGTACAATGAGCATCTAGATCTTAGTCTGTTTTCTTTAATAGGAAGCCCCAAAAAAACTGCCACGGGTCAAGGCGTCACCATATTTTACACTGATCGCCTTGGCCTCTATCCTCACATAGATGAGTCACAAACAAGTATTCACGGAGGGATACCTCAGTTGGCGCCTCTGAAAACTCATTTGGCCAAAGCTAGGAATGACATCCTGCATTACATGCCACTAGACAATGTGGGCCTGGCTGTCATTGACTGGGAAGACTGGAGACCCACCTGGGCAAGAAACTGGAAACCCAAGGACATTTACAGGAATAAATCTATTGAACTCGTCCAGCAACAATATTTACAACTTAATCTCACAGAAATCATCAAGAAGGCCAAAAAAGACTTTGAAGAGGCAGGAAGACGTTTTATGGAAGAGACTTTAAAGTTGGGACAATCAATTCGGCCAAATCACTTATGGGGTTTTTATCTCTTTCCTGATTGTTATAACAATAAATATAAAGACCCCAATTACAATGGAAACTGCCCTGATATTGAAAAGAAAAGAAACGATGATCTCTCCTGGATGTGGAAACAAAGCACAGCCCTCTACCCATCCATCTATTTGAGGAGTGCTTTGAAGTCATCTCCAAATGCAGCACTCTATGTCAGGAACCGTGTGCTAGAGGCCATCAGGGTGTCTAAAGTAAAGGACAAGCAGAATCCAGTTCCTGTTTTTGTATACTTTCGCCTTGTGTTTTCTGACCTAACTTTACAATATCTGCATCAGGTAAGTAAAGCAAGGTATGCCAGGTAGAATATCAGTTTTACAAACTGTGTTGAAAGGAATTTTATGTTTTTAAAGGGTAAAATTCATGTTTTAATATTTATGACTATAAAGCGCTATTTGTAATGGAGACAAAATAAGAGCACTTTAAACCTTTTTAATTAAAAGGTTTTTTTTTGTGTGGGTAAGGGTTCATTCATGTCAGGTGTCATATATGTAGCTTTCTCTTTTAACCAGACCCTCCTGCTTGGACCTGAGGCTTGCTCATTAGGTTAGTCTACCTGGCAGAGCCCTGGGGAGCTGTCTCCCTACCTCTGCGGCACTGGGTTTGCAAGCTGGCAACTTTGTACCACCATGCCCAGTTCTGTGTTTTAAAGTATGAGTCCTAAGAGTAGAATCTTGTATCCTCATGCTTGCAAGGCATCCGCTTTACTATCCAATTTCTCTCCCCAGCCCAGTGCTTGAATCCTGATTTTAATTATATGACATATTAGTATCCATGGAGAACTCTTTCTCCCTTTCCTTTAACAGATGTGTCCCTTTGGAAACAGAAGTAATGAAACAATGCTAGTCTCTGTTTTAAAATAGAGACTTAAGTAAAGAGTGCAGGAATATTTAAATTATTGTTGGATCATCATGCTTAGCTCTGATATTACTGTCATCCCCATGGACTAACTCTTCCAGTCCTGTTTTCCAGGATGACCTTGTGAATACGATTGGTGAAACAGTCGCTCTTGGTGCCTCTGGAATGGTTATATGGGGAACTCTTGGCTTAGCACGAAGTATGGTAAGTTCAAGCCGGTAAGACACAGATAAAGATGTCTCTATCCTTCATGTTTTGAGGAGTGATTTGGTGTTAAATAAGAACAGAAGCGTGGTGTTTGGCACATTGCCTCTGCTCTGCACTTGCTGAATTGACATATCTTGCACTTGCTGGTTGTAAAGCAGAAAGTGGTGCCTTCTCTTGTCTAATGCTGAGGAATGAGATAGTAAGAGTAACTGAAATCCTGTAGGTGCCATGGTTTCTAAGAAGCAGAACCAGGAGTACAGTTTCATTCCAATGATGTGGTGGTGATGGTGTGTGTATGTGTGTGTGTGTGTGAGCACTCCCGTGCTCAAAGGTCTCTAATTTAATTGCTTAATTCCTCATAGTAAATCTTTATCCCTGATTCTTTAATCCTTTTGACCCCAAAAGAGAGTAAATATATTTACTACTAAACTGAAGAAAAATTTCCTTTTCTGTAGGATGTGGGATGGAAATGAAGAGTGGGCCATGAAGAAAGTCAGATGAAAACCATGGCCCAGGAGTTCTGTCCTAGGACTGATAGAGAATAGTTTTGATAGTCTAAGAAGAGGAGAAGTATGACAGCTGTCTCATCTTTTATGTAGAATAGCATGAGTCCTATTTCATTAAAAAAAGAAGAGAGAGATACTTATGAGTCATTTTTCAAGGTAGCCTCAGTTTTTCTGCCTGTTTCCAGTAGAAAGAAATTTTTAAAAGTTTAAGGGAATATTATCTCTTGATAAAATCTGTTGTCTCTCATAAAACTATTTAATGTTGGAATCATTATAGCTTCATTCTAATTGAATTTTGCTACTTGGTTTTTCTAAAACTCCAAACTCCTTTCTTAAGGGTATTATTAACTTAATGATGGAACCATAGAATAAGTTCTGCACACTACTTACCGTCTCGCCCCTCCGACCTTTACCCAATCCTGTAACATCAAGGCATGAACCCCCCCTTGCTTGCTGTCATGGAAACCACCTGCTTGTGTTTTTCTCCTTTAAAAACCCTGTTCACCCAGGGCTCGGGGTCCCACTTCTCTACTGCTGTATCAGTGAGACTTGGGTCCCGAGTTCAATCACTCTCGTAATGAAGCTCTCTAGCTCTCTAGCTCTTGAAAAAAAAAAAAACTAAATGTAGCTGATAGGCAGCTCAGTCTTCATGTGGGTTCACTAGTAAGGGGAGCAGGGGCTGTCTGTGACATGGACTCTGTTGCCCTCTCTTTGATCACTTCCCTCTGGTAGGGGTGGGCCTTGCCAGACCACAGAGGAAGAGGATGCAGGAAGTCCTAATGTGACTTGATGGGCTATAGGGTCAGATGGTAGGGAAGGAGAGCTCCCCCTTTCTGAGGAATAGGGGAGGGAAAGAGGAAGGCAGAGTGGGACCGGGAGGAGACAAGGGAGGGGGCTACAATTGGGTTGTAAGGTGAATAAGTTATAAAAAAAATAAAGTTAAATTACAAAAAAAAAAAAAAGGAAATAAAATGACCAGGGCTTCCAAGATAGCTTAATAGGTAAAACACCTGCCATTCTGGAACATGTGGAAGAAGGGGCAAGCTGACTCCTGAAACTTTCCTCTGACTTCCACACATGTTCCAAGGCATATACATGCCCAGAGTCCAGCACACACAGCTCACATGCATTCATACTCACATGCAATAAAAACCAACAGTGAGAGAAAGAGCTGATTACTCCCAATGAGTAAAAGGACCTGTCTAGCGGTCACGTTTGTTTTGTCACCAGAATCTCCTTGTTCCTTTCCTCCTTTGTTTTTGTTCTCAATTTTTAAATTTATGTTTGAGCAATCATGCATACATACAATGATGTATTTGTACAGCCATAAATGCTCTTCATTGCTCCTTCCGCTGTCATAGTGGACCCAAGGAATAATGTGAGATCAAGGTGTGTGGCTGTGTCATGCGGAGTGTGCTATGGTCCTGGCTCTTAGAAAAAGATCAGACTACTGTGTTTGTGTGTGTGTGTGTGTGTGTGTGTGTGTGTGTGTGTGTGTGTGAACCAGGAAAGAGACGAAATGGTAAGCCACTAGGCGGGAAGAAGATGTTTCTTAGCTGTCACCTTCCAAGAGAAGGCTGAACCCACACAGTCTCAGTAAGGCCCCTTGTGTCTTTGGTTATTTGGTGCCAGAAGTGATTTCCAGTCTTACTGAAAATGGGAACAGGTTTAATACTAGCACTTGAGAGGCAGAGGCAGGCAGATCTCTGAGTCTGAGGTCAGCCCGGTCTACAGAGCCAGTTCCAGGACAGCCAGGGATACAGGAAGAAACCCTGACTCAAACCCCTCACCACAAAAGATTCTGTTTCTTCACCTATTCAGAGAGACGTATTTCGTTGTAATTTCTGTAAGTGAAAACTGTACACAAGTTGATGTTATACCACGCTTGCCAAAGATCTTAAGTATGATTCCCTCAGGCATAGCCTGCAACTTTGATGCTGCTGTTTTCTATTTAAGGCACTGTTTTAACGTTATCACTTGTAGAGTCTTCCTACACATTTCTCCTAACTTTCCCAAATCAATGATCAGTTCTAGTTTTATCTTTATTATTCATCATTTCTGATCCATATTCCCATAGATCACCTATCACAATTCTTCTGATTCACGCACAGCTTGAGAAACTTGTGATTTCACTTTTCTTTTACAAGCTAAAACAAGTATCAAGAAAACCTTTTCCTCTACTTTATCAGATCCAATGATGTAATAAAGCCAGCTGTACCAGTCCTGCCTTATGAGACTTGATTATTTACTGTTCAGGAATTTTGTGAGTTGTTAAACATAGCCATTATTAAGATCAAAAAAGATAGGAGGATACAGTAAAATAAATAGGTATAAAGTTAATGTTAAAACAATAATATAAAATAAATAGAATAAATATGTGATGATAAATATGAAAATGAGAACTAATGATTAAAATGCACCAGTTGTTACTTCATGTTCACCTCAGTGCCCGAGGTTGTGTAGATGTGTTAGAAATATGTGGATAAATACACTACTGAATGGATGCAGCCCACATCACATGAGAAACGGTGGCGTCTTCAGTTTCCAGCTCTGCATTCAGCACTGTTAGAACAGTAACTTGAAGTTGGCCATTGTGGATATACTTATTCTACAGCTCTTATATTGCCAGTTTAAGTCTTTTCCTAGAGTACCTATAAGGCATTCTTAGCTGTTAGCTTCTGAGACAAGGCTGTACCGGCAGCCTCGGGAAAGCCCTTTGATGCTTTGATTGCTGTTAAATCCTAGTCATTTCATTAGTCTGACTTTTGCCTAACCCTTGTCTCTGCAAGCCACTGCAATGTCACTTGAACATATACATTTTTGTCTATTTGCCGCTGAGACTGTGTCGTTAAAGAACAATGACAGTCTGTGCATGCTTGAAACCGGAGGACACCAAGAAAGCAAAGCCCTTTAAATCAACAAGAGCAGAGATCATATGAGCTCACAGAGACTGAAGCAGCATGCACAGGGCCTGCATGGGTCTGCACCAAGTCCTTTGTGTATAAATATTATGACTTCCAGTTTAGTGTTTTTATTGGACGCCTGAGTGTAAAAATGTGTGAATCTCTTGTGTTTTCTCTTGGGCTCTCTTCCTTCTGATGGTTTGTTCTTTTCAACTTCAATATGATAGTTTTTGTTTTATCTTATTATATTTTATTTTGTTATATTTTAAACTTATCTTTTTAGAAGGGTATTTTTTTTTTCCTAATGTAAGACCGAAAGGGCATGGAACTGGGTGGGAAGGAAAGTTGTGAGGAACTGGAGTAGAGTATGGGCTATAAACGGCAATCAGGATATATCTTCTGAGAAAAGAATCTATTTTCAATAAAAAAGAAAAATTAAATTAAACAATAAAAAAGTGAGTGCCTTTGGAACATAAAAAAGAAGAAAAAGTGTTAAAGAAGACAGTTGCTATTAGAAGAGCTCTACTGATGATTAATACAGGCGTGTGATTTCTACCATGGAATACATTCTGATCATACTTTTTTCTGTGCTAACTTTTCCCAGATCCTTCTCACCCCCCTACCCACCCAACTTCCTACTTTTCTTAAACTCCTCCTCTGCCTTTTCCTCTCTCTCCCCTCAAACTAAAAACAAAAACAAATGTCAAAAACTAACAAACCAAATATCAATAAAATGCAAAATAACACCAAAACAAACCAAATGAAACAAACAATAACTCCCCCAATACACACACACACACACACACACACACACACACACACACACTGGAGTCCATTTGTGTTGACCAACTTTACTCCTGGGCATGCAGCCTGAAGTAAAGTAATTTTTAATGGAAGAAACAACAGTATGTAATATTGAATCTTTGTAGTAGATCAGAATGTCTTGTCTTCACCCAGGACTGGAGAGAAGATTTCACCCTCAATGGCCTTATGGCTCCCTTAAATTGGGCCTTAAATTATTTAGGAAATTGATCATCTTACCTTCCTGTTTAGCTTCTTTAGGAATACAGATTTTAGCATATTTATCCTATCTTATAGGTCTAGTATTCACTTATAAGTGACTATATATCGTGTGTGTCTTTCTGCTTCTGGGATACCTCACTTTGGATGATCTTTTCTAGATCCCACCTTTTACTTGTAAATTTCATGATTTCCTTGTTTTTAATTGCTGAGTTGTATCCCATTGTGTAACTGTACCACAATTTCTGTATCCATTCCTCCATTGAGGGACATCTGTGTTGTTTCCAGGTTCTGGCTATTACAAATAAAGCTGCTACGAACAGTGTAGAGCAAATGGCCTTGTTGTGTACTTGAGCATATTTTGGATATATGCCTAGGAGTGGTATATCTGGATCTTGAGGAAGTGCTATTCCTAATTGTTTGAGCAAGTGTCAGATTGACTTCCAAAGTTGTTGTACAAGTTTACATTCCCACATTAGAAGAAGGAGAAAACAAGGAACAGGACAGGAGCCTACCATAGAGGGCCTCTGAAAGACTCTACCTAGCAGTGTATCATAGCAGATACTGAGACTCATAACCAAACTTTGGGCAGTGTGCAGGGAATCATATGAAAGAAAGGGGAGATAGTAAGACCTGGAGAGAACAGGCGCTCCACAAGGAGAGCAACAGGACCAAAATATCTGAGCACAAGGTTCTTTTTTGAGACTGATACTCCAACCAAGGACCATGCATGGAGATAACCTAGAACCCCTGCACAGATATAGCCCAAGGCAGCTCAGTCTGCAAGTGGGTTCTCTAGTAATAGGAACAGGGACTGTCTCTGACATGAACTCAATGGCTGGCTCTTTGATCTTCCTCCCGATGGAGGAGCAGCCTTTCCAGGCCACAGAGTAGGACATTGCAGCCATTCTTGATGAGACCTGATAAGCTAGGGTCAGATGGAAGGGGAGAAGGACCTCTCTATCAGTGGACTTAAAGGGGGGAATGGGAGGAGATGAGAGATGGAGGCTGAGATTGGGAGGGAATGAGGGAGGGGGCTACAGCTGGGATACAAAGCATATAAAATGTAATTAATATAAAAAATAAAAATTTAATTAAAGATTATTTAGGAGATGGGTGGAAACTTGGGAATGGGTGATAACTCATTTTTACCAGGAAAATCTACATATCCAATTCCAAGCTGTTCAGCAGAAGGAATTGGTATTTAGAAGTTCAGTCATGTCTAATGGGTAGCAGCTTCTTTTTTCTTTCTTTTTTTTTCTTCATTTCTTTCCTTCTTCTCCTTCTTTGTCTTCTTCTTTTTCTTCTTCCTATTCCCCCTCCTCTGCTTCTTCTTGCTTCTCCTAATTTTATTTATTTTTTATTGAAAATAAAGTTATTTTCAAAGAATATATCCTGATCATGGTTTCCTCTCCTTCATCTCCTCCCATATTCTCCTCGTCTCTCTACTCTTACAACTCCATGTGTTCTTAGTTTCAAAAAAAAAAATACCCCCACAAATAAAGCATAAATAAGGATAAAATAAAATAAGAAAAGCATGGAATTCACACACACACACACACACACACAGTGCATAAAAACTCAAAATGGAAGCCATAATACACAAGCAAAAGACCAGAAAGGGGGGAAAATCCCAAAGAAAGCAATATAGACAAAAAAAATTCCCTAATTCCTTTGAGTTCATTTTACATTGCCAGCTTCTCCTGTGCTTGATACTGCTGTAAAGTGTGGTGATACTCCCTCAGAGAAACTTGCTTTTCCTTTGGAGACAGTTTCTTGATTGGGGATGGGAGATCCTGTCTACTTTTCCATCTCAGTGTTCATGCTCTGTCTGTTTTGGTTCTGTGTAGACCCTTATGTAAGTTACCACAGCTCTGTGAAGTTTGCATGTCAGCTCTGATGAATATGAAAGATACTGTTTGGTTCCTTGGGATCATGCATGTCTTCTGGTTATTACAATCTTTCTGCTTCCTCCTCTTCCACATAATTCCCTGAGCCCTATGGTGAGGGATTTGATGAAAGTACCCCATGTAAGATTGAGTGTTACAAGATTTCTCACTCTCTGCACATTGGCTAGCTGTGGGTCTCTGTTTTTGTTCCCATCTACTGCCGGTGAAAGCTGCTCTGCTTGTGGCTGAGTGAGACACTGACCTATGGGTATAGAAGAATGTCATCAGGAGTCATTTTATTGCTATATTGCTTTGACAGAACAATAATACTTGATTTCTCCCCTAGGTCCATGGTCTGTCTAGTCTCAAATTATTGGCCATTCAAACAGTGGCAAGCATAGGTTCCATTTTATGGAGTATGTCTTAAATCCAAACAGACAGTGGTTATTCCTGCAGAATTTATGCCAGTATTTCACCATAGTGCATAGCTTTAAACAAAATGTTCCTTTAGAAGAGATAACAAGAATGGGGAAGCAGAACTCTGTTTTGGAATTCTATGCCTTCACCAAAGATCCTAAGCTGTCTAATTAATTTTTATGTTCAGTCCTCTTTTATACCAGTGCAAAGATGCTTGACACTCAAACTGCAAAATTTTCCAAAGGACAGACTGTCATGCATACATAATTATGTAACATTTATATAAAGTATAGAGTTTGAACCTAGTTGTTTTGAGCCATCAATTTGGGACCTATCTTTGATGCTGTTTAAACTTGTCAGACTAATGTAATTTTTGATTTTTTAAAATGATATATTGATGGTGAATTGAAGAAATTACAGGCCTCATGTCAAACATGTACGTATGTATCTTCCTTTTTTGTTTTGTTTTTTTAATTAATTTTTTAATTTTTTTATATTAGTTACAGTTTATTAACTTTGTATCTCAGCTGTATCCCGCTCCCTCATTCACTCCCAATCCCACCCTCCCTCCCTCATCTTCTCCCTGTCCCTTTCCAAGTCCACTAATAGGGGAGGACCTCCTTGCCTTTCATCTGACCCTGGTTTATCAGGTATCATCAGGACTGGCTGCAAATTTCTCCTCTGTGGCCTAGCAGGGCTGCTACTCCCTCGGGGGTGGGGGAGAGGTCAAAGAGCCTGCCATTGAGTTCATGTCAGAAATAGTCTCTGTTCCCCTTACTAGGGTACCCACTTGGATACTGAGCTACCATGGGCTACATCTGAGCAGGGGTTCTAGGTTATATCCATACATGGTCCTTGGTTGGAGAAACAGTGTCATAAAACACCCCTGTGCCCAGATATATTTGGTCCTTGTGGAGCTCCTGTCCTCTCCAGGTTGTATTAACTCCCCCTTCTTTCATATGATTCCCTGCACTCTGCCCAAGGTTTGGTTATGACTCTCAGCACCTACTTTGATACACTGCCAGGTAGAGTCTTTCAGAGGCCCTCTGCGGTAGGCTCCTGTCCTGTTACTTGTTTGTTCCTACATCCAATATCCATCCCATTTGTCTTTCTAAGTGAGGATTGATCATCTTACCCCGGGTCTTCTTTCTTGTTTATCTTCTTTAGGTGCACAGATTTTAGTATGTTTATTCTATCTTATAGGTCTATATAAGTGTATACCATGTGTATCTTTCTGCTCCTGGGATACTTCACTCAGGATGATCGTTTCTAGGTCCCATCATTTACCTGCAAATTTCATGATTTCCTTGTTTTTAATTTCTGAGTAGTCATATGTATCTTTCTTGTTGTCACAATAATCTTATGTATCAGGCTTTAAAAATTCATCCTTATTTTGTAAGTGATAAAACATAAGCATAATCAAATTAGTTAATTTGACTTGTGGTCATCCAAATAGGAAACTAAGACTTACAAAGTTTGAGATATTCTCAAGGTCATTTATGAAACTTTGACCTCAATCATCAGGGCAAGAGAGAGTCAATGCCTGTATTCCATCCCTTTTATTAATTCAGTAATAACTGAGGAAGTTCAAAGCTAAATTGAGTGTCAACTTAATAATTATTCAGTGGCATGAAATGGCACAGAAAGTCTAAGAAAGTAATAAAAAGTGCCTAAATCATATTTCTTGTTAAAGTGACAAAGAACATTTCCTAACAATGTTTTGTGTTTTAAGAGTTGCTTGATGCAGTATATTGTCACATAGAACTTAATAGTTTATGTTATGGTTTTACAGAAATCATGCCTGAACTTACATAATTACTTGGAGAATACCCTGAATCCGTATTTAATCAACGTCACCCTTGCAGCCAAGATGTGCAGCCAAACACTCTGCCAGGATCAAGGTGTATGTTCGAGGAAAGACTGGAATTCAGATGAATATCTTCACTTGAGTCCCCGAAATTTTGAGATTCAATTTGTGAAAAGCGGAAAGTATGAAATCCGTGGCAGCCCCACCTTTGATGACCTGCAGTACTTTTCCGAAAAGTTTCATTGCACCTGTTACGCCAACTTGAACTGTAAAGAGAGAGATGACATGGAAAGTGTGAGCACCGTCAGTGTGTGTGCTGTTGAAGATGTCTGCATTAATTCCTTTGTAATTGAAGAACCTAGGTCGCTGCCTGAGAACTGGAACCGCCCTTACTTTGCTAGGAGCAATCAGTCGTCAGAAACTACAGCGTCTGCTGTAGTGAGTCCATGTGTGCCAAGGCAAAGTGTCAGTGGGTATCTCTTTGTTCTCTCTATCTATTCACAGCACGTGAAATATTTGCTATAGGTTTTTGGCCATTCAAAAGTTGGACATCATCTTTCAAAAATAACTCTACAGAAATAATGAAGATTCTACCTTGGATTTCAGAGACAAAAAAAATGTGTATTCTATCAAAAACTGTAATGCTGTTACTTTCAGGGTTAATGGTCTTCTGAGAAGAATGAAGATTAAATAAAATCAAGTTACTGTAAATGAATGTCTTTCAGTAATTTGTTTTTAGTATTTTGCTATTGCTTAAAATTTAATAATGTTTTTAGTAATTTACTATTGGTTAAAATCAAGAAAATGAAATTTTATATCATTTAAAATGGAATTTCCCAGGTGCTCTAACCTTCCATAATTATAATTTTTGGCTCTATGTTGAAAATGTTTATTCTTAGGATTTATGGAAAAGTAAACTTTAATAAATGATTATCTTATTTTTTGCATGACAATATATTTTTTAAATTTATGCTTTTAGAGTATTAAAATTGACTTCCCCTTTCTGATCATCAAGGTTATGTTTTATACCCCAGATGGCTTTTTCATCAAAGCACCCACTTGTTCATTAACTTGTTTCGTTAAGCTTTTACTGACTTTTCCTTCTTTCAGGCCTGGTATTCAGTGTCACTCTGTCCTTGTAAAGGAGCAGATTTCTTTCCATCAGTGAGTTTGCTGTATGTTTAAAAATAAAATAAATGAATATTGACAGTGACAGCAGAGTGTGTTTTCAGCGCTATGGTGTTCTTGCAGTACACAGCCGTGACTGTGAGAAGGTGACTTGTCAGGATGTCCTGAAAAAGATGAGGTGAAAGTTGTTTGAAAGGGTGAGTGTAAGTTTGAACAAGAAACACTTAAGCAAAAGAAAAAAAAAAACTGCGTGTGCTTCTTAGAGAGGTGTAGAGCCAGAAGTTTACGCTGAGAGGTGTGAAGACAGTGAAGACTGTCTGACATCTTTTTCTTTGCCCCAGGTTTGTCCACTCACATGCAACAACATGATGTATCTTTTTATTTTAAATAATTTATTTAATTTTATTTTATGTGCATCAGTATGAAGGTGTCAGGACCCTTGGAATTGGAGTTACAGACAGCTACGAGTGGCCATCTGGTCGCTGGGATTTGAACCCATGTCCTTTTATCTTCTGAGCTATCTTTTCTGCCCCGATGTGTCTGTTTTGTAATTCCTGGTGCAGTTCTGCAATATACATACAATGAGGACAGTTATTTGGTGACTCTTATGTCGTATATGACAAACAATCTCTGGGACTAAGTATGAATCCACTGAATAGTTGTTGAGTGAAAAAAAAGGGGGGGGGGACTTTGGCACATAGCTTTGAACTTGAGTCATGGGCGCTTTTCATGCCTTTAAGATCTCGGCTCAATGCTGACTTTCCATTAACTGCAGCCTTTACTCTCCAGTCCCAGCCAAATTTTGTTGTCAAAGCAATGTCTTCAAAAACTAGTTGACAAAAAGAAATAATTCAATAAAGTCAAACCAACATTCAGGAGTTAGACAGAATGGAGTCTGCAAAAAATGAAGAGATTTGTAACTGAGAATTTTGAAAAAAAAAAAAATTCCAAATTCCATGGAGAGGTAACCAGGCTCAGCTTAGGCTTTCTTAATCCAGGTAAAGTTTACTTTTTAAGGTCCTGAAAAGATTGAATGATATGATATGATATGATATGATATGATATGATATGATATGATGTTTAAAGTAAAAAACAATTGACTTTAAACATAAGTCAAAAAATACCCTCAAGGAAATGAAAACAGGTATGTTTGTTGATCATGGAAACACTCTCACATTGATATTGCTGGACGGAATGTTGAAACAACACCTGATTAAAAGTATGCCAAGTTGAAAAGTAGTCACAGTGGTAATATTTTATATAAAACAGAAGTGTTTATGATAAGGTTTGCAGAAGTAAATTGTCTTTTCATTTCAATCAAGTATTCTTATCAAGTATCACGTTAGAGTCCACGTTATATAGAAATACCAGGGGTTCTCTGCTTATCATCAATGATAGACCTGTAAGAAATAATGTCCACAGAATATGGTAAAAATATGTACAATAGAATTGCACAGATTAAAGAACAGACTTTCACCCAATTAATCAACAGAGAATTAAAGAAATGCAGGCTACCTATAAACAGTTAGGTTTCCTACAAAACCTTCTCCCTGCCAGGGAAGAAAAGTATTTTCTTCAGGGATGGACCCTGGAGAGTCCACCCATGATCCATTATGTGGACCCACATCAATGTACACTCAGGCACAATGAAATGGATTCAGTAGGTTTTTTTTTTTTTTTTCCTCATAGGAAGTTGGGAATTAAAAGCTGTAGTGATGAGTTTAGGGGTGGGCTGGATTGGAGGAAAGGTAATAAAGGTTGTTTGTTGGTCAAAATATTTTATGAAGCTATAAAATTTTTAATGAAAAGTGTGTGTTTTAAAGAAAAATGTTAAGGGTTTTTACTGAGCTGTAATTAAGACAGACAGAAAGGGATAATTTCTAAAACTAAGTCAGTCAGGTCATATAGCTTAGTGTAGAAGATTACTTTGCTAGTGTGCATAAAATCCTGAGTTATGTCCCACATACCATAAAAGAAATGAAGGAGGAGGACAGGGAGGAAGACAAGGACGAGGAGGAGGAAAATTGAAGGAAGGAGAGAGGAAGGAAGGATGCAAGAAAGACAAAAGGAATAAATTAAGGAAGTAAAGAAAGAAGAATGGCCTTGGAAATGAATTTGGGTGTGAATGTGAGAAGCGAGTGTGTGACTGTGTGTGTGTGTGTGTGTGTGTGTGTGTGTGTGTGTGTGGTGTGTTCATGAGCTAATCTCTGGGCTGTAAATACTTGCAAATAGTTTGTTAACCTTATGATTCATCACCGAAAAATCATAGTCATTTGAAAATATAATACAAAATGAAAAGGAAAAGGCATACAAACTATTGCAAAATAATGATTTGAATTTGGTAATGAGTAATGAATTTTAGTGTCTTGCCAGCTGGCAAATGAATAGTGCTCTTTAGAATCTAATCTACTTCTAAGGCAGTGGTCAAATAGAAAAACAATGAGGAGTGGTGGGAGCATTTGGAGAAATCTGATTTCCAGTCTATAGCTTGTCTACTTACTCCTCGAGATGTTTAGTGAAGGTAAAACCGTGAGCTTGAGATTGTACAGCATAGTGTCTGAAAGACTGAAACAGTATTGGTAAGAGCTGAGTTTATAACTGCAATTGACTGATAAGTTGCTGATTCAGTTGATTAGAAACTGTGGGTGAATGTAGGTTTTCTTTGTCAGACGATTATTTGTTTAGATGTTATTTGTTTAATAAAAAAATTACGTTAGACCTTGAAAATGCTTTCTCTGATCTTCTCTTTCTCTGGAGGCTGATTAGGAATAGTTTCGTGTCTAAATTTTTGCCTGCAGGATTAAAAACAGCAGAAAAACCGTGTTTTCTTCTTGATTGATATTTGTTTGTCACAGGTTTTTCTGTAATGATTCTACATATTAGTTGAAGTGAACAATATGTACATTTGTGTGTGTGTGTGTGAGTGTGTTACATGCATGTATGTGCAAGTTTGTGCCCATGTAGCAGGAGTGTTAGCATTCATCTAGGGATTGTCAAGCTTGACAAAAACTAAACATCAGGAAAAGACAGAAGTCCAAGTTTCAGAAAGTGAAAGTAACAGCTTTATGCATCCTGGATGGGATGGTCTGGTGGCCTGGGTATCTACGAGGGTCGTTGGGTCTTTCCCTCCCCCGATGATCTTTTTCATATGCCGACCTTTGTGCCTTCCTTCTGTTCATTCTCACATTTTGGCGTTACGTTCTGGGAATGAGAAACTGCCAGAGCAGGGAGCTCACTTTTGCATTCACTGTCTATCTATGCACCTCTAACTCTCCTTCACCCGGACACTTGCACTTGTGGGTGTGTTTGGTGGTCAGAAGTAAGTGCTGACGCTGCCAGCTGCCTCTATATTTTATTTCTGAGACAGGTAGCTCAGGAAAGCAGAAAGTTGTTTTGGGGGTGTATTGGTTACTCAGTGAGCCCCTGGGCGCCTCCTACGTCAGGCTGGCATTGCTTGGTTACAGATATATGCCACCACACCCACCTTTTACATGAGCTCTAGGGCTCAGATGTACTCATTCTCACAAGTTCAGAACTCCACCCACTTAGCTACCCCAAAGCTTCAAATTGTGCATCTAAAAGTGTGTCTTTACAACACCGAACTAGTAAATAGTAATAATTCAACAGACAATATATTTTTGGAGAATTAATAGTGGCTTCCTTTGAACTTGATAACTGTCATAGTTAGGGTCACTATTAGTAGGAGGAAACGCCATGTCCAAAAGCAAGTGCAGGAAAGGGTTTATTGGCTTACACTTACACATCACTGAAGGGAATCTGGAAAGGAACTCAAATAGGGCTGGGACCTGGAGGCAGGAGTTGATGCCAAGGGCATAGAAAGGAGCTATTTACTAGCGTGCTCCAAAACCCCAAAGGTGCCTTCTGTGATTCATCTATGGAGGCCTCCAACAGCATCCTTTTCTGCCACTGATGCCAAAAGTTCCCTCTGGTCAGCTGGAATATGGTTCAAGTGGTAAGACAGCTTGCACATCAGTCTGGGCTGGACTGCACTCACAGCTAGCGGCTTTCCTAGTCACTCGGTGTATGAGTTGGAGTGACACAGGTGAGAAATGTGCTCTCTTCAGGATCCAAATAAGGCCCACTAAACAGTGGGCTTCTTTCTTGGTGGTGGGAGAGGCCGGGTGCAAAACTTAGCCTTCACCTTGGAAGGAGTATCTCTTCACGGGCTACACCACTGGATGCCTAACAGTTTTACTGAGGTAGAAGGCCCTCAATTTTTGATTGGATTTATTTTCTGTCCCCTAATGCTCTTGCCCACAAGCCCAAAGTGCTTGTTACCTCATGCACAGTTGGTTCAATAAGTAAAATGTTGTCAATATACTGAATCATTGTAATATTTCATGCAAGAAGTAGATAATCAAGATCCCTTTGAACTA